TGGAATGAGGGTGTTTGCGCGAAACGCACAATATATCCTTGCGTTATACGGTCGTTCAGCTTCTCGCACACCACGTTCTGACGAATCTGCATGACATAGCGACCGGTGGCACTTGCTTTGTCACGGGGTGTGTGTGCCCGGCCAGCACAGCCCTGTGTAGCGTTTAAATCACAGCTGCAACTTCCATGCTCTTCTCTACGAGTGAGTCTGTGGCTCCAAGCAACACGTGGCGGCCAAGACCTTTGCAAGCGAGGCCGCCCAGTCATGGTGAATAAGGTCCTGGGAGCGATGACCCCCAACTTTGAGCCCGTCCGCCAGAGATCCAGGTGAATGTGTGGTGCAGAAGTGTGCCATGAACCTTAAAGTCCTATGACATAACAGATCCACACAAATCCAGCACGGTGAGGATCAAGCACAGCCCGCTGGAGCCAGGCCAAAACTTGCGTCGTCACAAGCTTACAGTCCATTATTACGTAAGAGCTCCGCAACCTTGGGGTCCTGTTGCTGAGGCCAGCGCAGCAGCACACCACTAATTATTTAACCAGGCAAACATTGCGGCCGTTGCTTGCACCAGACCGCTCACCTGGCCCTTTTGAGATGTGCCCCATGTGCGCATTATTACCAAGCGCCCAGCCGGCCAGGATCCGGACAGGCGCTCAACCTTGCGTGGGCTGACCCCCGCGCAAGCCGTTCCAGCCTGGCAAACGCATGTCAACGCCGGTACCGGGGCGTGAGCAGGCCTGCACAGGCTTGTGCTGATGCAAGCAAGCAGGATGATTGCATTAGAATTGCAGCCACAACACCTACCTGCTCGTTGCTTGATGTTGACCTCATGCTGTGACTGGAGCCCTCCGCCGTGGTCAGCCCCAATGTGACGCCATGCCCACAGCCTCTGCACAACCTCTCACATGATCCCGAGCTCGCCATCAGCAACAGCAGCAGCAGCAGCAGCAGCAGCAGCAGCAGCAGCAGCAGCAGCAGCAGCAGCAGCAGCAGCAGCAGCAGGTGTTCCGATCACCCCACACACATCTACGCAGGTATGCTTGCAGGTTGAATAGCCTGGGGGAACCGTGTTTTGTGGAGGTTGTGGGCGCTGCGCACCCCATAGCAATAACAGTGCCAGGGGCCACACGCCCAGCAGCAAGTCTTGCTAGAAATGTAGCCTCCGCTGGCAGCTACGGTAGCAGAAGGAAGAATGGAACATACTCTTGTTGCACATCACGTGCTTTTAAACTGGAGTGCTCAGCAGACAGGGGCATCACACTACAAGCGATGAATTGGGGGGGGCATGGGGCCTTGCTTGCCCTGCTCCGCTTATTCAGCGTGAAGGGTTGCAGCCTTTGGGTGAGGAGCCTGAAGTTGCGCAGCGGTTTGGTGCGAAATGCTTGCTGCTCGAGACTGACAGAAAACAATCGACTAGATGCCACTTGATCTATCTATCTCCTGCTGCCAGCGAGCGTCGCAGCCCGCAGGCGCCCGGCATTGCCCGTTCATGCACAGCTAGCGCCAGCACGTCAGAGCAGCCACGTGGGCCCGCCTGCGATGGGTGGTGGAAGTGAGGGTGGGGCAGCAGCACGAGAGTGCCACCACACTTGCGGGCTAGTAATGGCAGAGAATGGCACTGAGTGCAACAGCATGCAGTTGACTTGTACTGAATTGGCCTAGATTGACAGTTAAAGCACATTTGCTCTGCAATAGGCCAGGCTCTTTATTTATTCCGTATCACGACCAAGTGGACTGGGCGCTGCTGAGAGCCTCGTGCCTGCA